TTATATATATATTAATTATTTATATAATATATAATTTATATTAAACAATACCTCTTCTTTTCCAAGAAATAAATCACAAAGAAGTACAATATCAACAGTTTTATTATTAACTTTAATATAACAATGCCATTGATCTCCAATACAATACATTGAACAACCAATAAACTATTGATATATATTTTGTATATTCTGAGAAACATATGATTTACATAAAATTGAATTTTCAGAGTATATACTTCCATTATTGTATTTGAATTTACAAGAAGTATCTTTAGCAGCCAAATATGTACTGCATTTGAAAGACTAGTTTTAGTATATATTTTTTATTAAAATATAAAAAAAAAAATAATTACACATAAGTATGAGTTTTTTTAAAATTGATGTTTTGATCTTCTATAATTTTTTTCCACAATAATGATTCAACATTGACCTCATTGTGTTCAATACTTGTAAATGAAGAATCAGTAAATTGACAAATTTTGATTCCCAAACAATCATGCTCTTCTTTATTCACTTGAATGTTTCTGAAATATGGTGACTTTTTAATTACATGGATTTCACTACCACTCATAGAATATTGAATCTAAATATAAGTTACATAAATTAATTATAAATATAGATTATATAAATTAATTTTTAAAATTTAAAAAAAAATATACATATTTATATTTCTTCATGTGTGATTTGGATCAGTTCAATCTGCAATATGAAATATTGTTGCAACACCTTCTAGTAAAGTAGCCAGATATTCTACAGGTATGCTAGAATGAATATAGTTTTTATATAAAACTGGAATGTAAAACATGCAGTTTCTGGAATTTCTTCATCATCATCAATCAATTCTTCATTGTTAATCAGTTCTTCTACTAATAACTCTGCTTCTGATTCCTGATAATATTTTCAAATTTATGAAACAAAATTACTTTACTATTTTAGACATTCATATATTTACTTGTTCGAATTCAGGATCTACTTGGTCATATTGAAATTCTTCAACATCAGATATATCCTCTATTTTATCCAATTCGATATAGTATTGCAATAATCGAATAAAGAAGTTGATTTACTATAAAGAAATTTTATCGACAAATATAGGATATTGATGTTTTTAAAGATCAAATAAAGAATTCAATTGTTACTATAAAAGAGATTTTATTGATAAATATAGGAATCATGCAATCAATCATATAATTTAATTGATAGTATATATAACATATGTAATTGATTTTATTGATAAATACTGTATATAAATCATGCAATCGATATGTACTACACATGTATACATCTGAGTATAATTTTTGATTTATTTTTTTTTAATGTCCATACTAATTTGCATTACCATACCATACTACTTTACTATATACCTGCTAGTAGATATTATAATTATAATAAAAATGATGTTGGATTATAATCATAATATCTACTAGCGGATTGATAAATAATTTTTTTATATGTTCCACACAGTATGTAAAATCAATCGTATAACATCAATGTTTCTTCCTATTAATCAAATCTCAAGACAAGGTGTAATATAACACGATCAGAAAAATTCAAACCAAATGTTCCCTTGTAAAATTTTGCTTTAAGAAATATTCTTAGACACTGATCTAATAGCAAAATCCAAACCCTAACCTAAAAAAAACAAAATTTTACTTGAAACTTTTTTTGGTAGCGATTCTACCTTTGTAGAGTCAGCACTCCTAAGTTCGGATGATGATCTATAAATTGCTGCAGCATATTTTATTTTGTCACATAACGAATTAATGATGATCTATAAATTGTTATAGCAGCCACTGATAATTAAAAATCTATTTTAAATAACCAAAGAACCTGAACATTCTATTGAAGTTTTTAGAAAATTCTGTTCTTAGTGAAAAAAATCTTAAATCTAGTTACATATCGCCTTTAACTTTTATAAGTTCTTATTAAATTTTATTTTATTTTTAAAGGAATAATTATAACAAAACTTTTAAATTACAAGGCCTGATTAACAATATAAGAATATATATAATGATTTTAGTTATCTTTTATTTTCCTTAATTCCATTATAAATCAATCATACAAACCATTAATATTTTCTATTTGCTTTTCTGGTAGGAACAAATACATAAGATACAGCTAGTGATATGCTATATACAGTATAGCAGTATATATATACTGTACGCAAAAATAATCATCAATTCTTTCTACTAGCAATCAAATTGCTAGATACACACTGTATGTACTATACTCAAAAAAAATTCGTGTATCATATAAATAGCATATTACTAGATATAGCTTTTTACTATTTTCTGATTTCCAAGTTCTGTCATTTTCAATATTGAAATTTTGATTAGTTGATCATTAAGATGTAATGTATAAGCATCTCGTAAGGTTGTAACATCTAATTAAGTCACTTTTTTTTCAATAATGTCAGAGTAGAAATTTAATTACATATATAGAATCAAAACTTCTAAAATTAAAAATTTTTAACTACATTTGTATTACAATTTTGGTACCCAATGTGATATTACACTTCCTATTTCTTATAAATGTTATTTACTAATTATTTTAAATTAATTTTAAATTAGGATAGATTAGAGAAAACCTAATTAAGCTTTTTTTAATAAATATGTTTAGTTTTTTAATATTTTATTTTAATAAAAAACTATTGATCCAATAATTTGAATTAATGTTTATATTTTAACAGTTGTCAATAGAAATAAGACAAATTAATATTTGAAAAAATTTTATCTTAATTTTTATAGCTTATATTTTGATAGATTTTGATACTATCTTAGAACACTTCAAGAACATAGAACCCAGTAATTATTGCATTACATGAAATCATACAATGATGTCATTTGTTTATAAGAGATACCTTAGTTATGATGAAAAAAATTCAGATTACATATTGTAAATCATTTTTTGGCAAATTCTTATTATGTATTATCATAGTAATCATAATTTACAAAATTAATATTTTTAATAAAAATTTTTTTTAATAATTAAGACAAAGATATTTTTATTAACATTATTTAAATTTATAAAAATTCTTTTATTTTAACTACAAAATTGTACAGAATTAAAATAAAAAAACTTTTATCAATTTATATTAAAGTCGTTATCATAATAACTTTACTCAAACTTTAACAAAAATGTTGCTATAGTTTCTATTTTGATGAGTTTAAAGCTCTAAGCAAAGATAAATAATCATTTGCTCAAAATTGATAAAAAAATTTTTTGGTTTAATTATAATTATATAATTATATGAACTTAATTTTGTCAATTTTAAATAACTGATTGTTAAGATATCTTTGTTAAAGCTTAAAAAACTATATGTAGACTAGTGATTTTGTTTAGTTAAAATATATTATAGTTTAAGTAGAATCTTATTTTGATAGCACTTGTTGAAATACTACATTTTGAGATTAAATTCTTTTTTTTGAATTTAAGAAGTGTATGTTAGGTTTTTTATTAGTAATTAGACAGCATTGGCATAGTTAATAGAATGAACTTCAATGTATAATTTTTTTAATTTAGAAATCTAGACTACTTGAAATTTGAACACTCATAGTCAAATTTTTAAAACAACAAGATTATAATAATAACATTATTATAGACAGTATATAAAAACTATTCAAGTCTAAATCTTTAAAGTTTAATTTGTATAAAGTAATTAAGATGCATAAAATTTTTGAATGTGTAATTTTTTTTAACAATACTAAATTTGTAAATTTAAAATTAATATACATTCTTGTTTCATCAGAATAAATAATAATTATATATATGCACAACAATTATACACATAATATAATAGCATTAATAACCTAGTCATATGCATAGTCATATCTGAGAATAACAATATAATTGTATATATATTCTAAATTTAAGTTTTTTTTTAAATTAATTCATATTTAGTTAACACTATAGTTTGATCAAATTCTATACAAAATGTATTCAGATATTATATCTCAAAAATTGAATATAGAAATATTAAAACTAAAGAATAATTAGATATTAAAAATATAATTATATAACTTATATAAATAATTATAATGAAAATATATAAATCTTTATATAATCATATATTTAAAAAATAATATATCATAAAATAAAGATAATTACAATAAAAAATATATATAAAGTGTGTTTTTTAATCTTAAATAAAATTCAAAAAATGAATTATCCAATAAAAGTTAAATAATTTTTGTATTTATTTGTCTATTCTATTTTTATCAAAGTTATTCATATTTAAAGTTTTTGGACACAATTATATTTTGAACTTATAAATTAATCAATTTTTATTTGAATTAACAATCTACATTTATCAATAAGAAGTATTAACAATATGCTTTTTTAAATACATTATTTTAATATTTTTATTATTATTATACTTAGTTTTTTTATTTTTTATATTTAAAAATTAATAATAAATGAACATATTATGTTTTAAAATAAATTATATTAATTATATTTAAGAATATATAGGTTTAATTTGCTTCAAATTAGCATTAATGTAACAAAATGCATATTCTAAATCCATGCAAATAAACTTAATTAATTACAATATTTTGTTAATAGAAGCTTAAGAAATTGTTCAAGAAACTATTTAAAAAATTATTCAAGAAACTATTCAAGAAATTATTCAAATTAATAAAAGAATATGTAGTTATTACTATATCAACAAGACAATTGAATATTTTTATTATTCTGATAATAACAATATTATATATAGCCAATATGCTAAAATGTTAAAAATAAATAAAAAAAATAATCAGTTATATTAAAAAAAATAAAATAAAAAATAGTTCAAAACAATAACTTTATTTTTAATAAACTTGATATAACCATCTTATTAGATTTTAATATTATTACTCTATTCATGATGATCTTTATAGTAACATGTCTACTAATTCTATTACTATTGCTTCTAAGTTTCCTAATATTATTACAAAAAATTTTAACAACATTAACTCTAATAACTTTAATACAATTATCTTTAGTGATTTTAGTAATATTATTAACAATGAAGGTAAGCATGATGACTAGAATAATAATAATTTAGAAGTGCTGATATATGACTTAGATAAAGTGCATAAAATTATTACTAAAAAATTTAAAGAAACAGAAATATTTGGTAATCTTGTAAAATTCATTTTGAAGTTATATTAAATTATAATCTTCTTAATAAATTTTCTTTAAATTAACAAAATTTAATTAGTACAACTAATTTAAAATTAATTGAAATAAGATTTAGACAACTTATATTACTACTTATTGTATTACTTGAATCTGAATTTGGTTATTATTAGAAAATTAGAAAATTATATTTAAATAATAAAAATAAAAAATTCTCTAATTCAATTATAACATACTTTGATTGTATAATATAAGATAATCAAGTTTGGAAAAGACTAGATATCAGCTACTCAAAAGTCAAAGTAAGACCTTAGTTTCTATCAAAAGGCATTAATGTATAAGAAATATTAAAATTACTATAAATCTATTATCTAGAAAAGTTATTAAGTAGTATATAAAAAGCTAAACTATCACCAAGTCATATTTCTTACTAAGTCAAAAAAGTAAATTAAAAATAATATTTTATTATATCGTGAAAATCAACAATCATTAAAAAAACTCTCTCCGCTGATCCTTCTGTACAAATTTGGAAAAATACACAATCAACGATAACACCAAAACGACATAGAAAACCCACGAAAGAGTCATAAGAAAAAAGAAGCAGAAAGATAAAATACATAGAAATAGTATAGAGACAC